CCTGCGTACTTAGCGTGACCGTATTGTGGAGGCCGGTTTGGACTGAGAAGTGCTGGCGATACAAGAAGCCACGGTTGTGGGCTTTCTAATGCACCCGCCAGAGCTCCCGTTGGAGGTCTGTGCATGGAGAAATTCAGAGATTTGCCCATCGCGGGTTTCATCTGACACACAGAGAGTATGGGCCTGTAGCGGTGTCGCGTGACGGCGGGGTATTTGAACTTGTGCGTTCTACGTAGAATCTCACGCGCTTCACTTTCCATGTCAAATGTGACGACACAGATCTCTATTGGGGAGAGTCGAATCGCGACCCCTCAAGTAGATGACATGCTTTGGTATCACCAATAAGTAGCAGCCGTCATGTCTCTTCCTTCGTTGGCCCTGCTCTGTGGCGAGGTGCCCGGTCTCTTTCCGCGCAAGGGTGTCCTCCGTTGTAAACTCCAGTCATTTCATGGAAAACTGTCAGACGTTGCTATATTTGGGTTTCACACTAATACAGCTGTACCGGCAACAAGAAATTGCGGCGCAATCCAAACTCATGAGACTGGCGGGAACTGCTTGCTTTGATCTTTGTCCCCTCGCGCGACGATAACATGTGACTGAAACATGTCTCACTTCGTTAATATGCTTGAAGCAGCTGCGATCAGTAGACGGCCCAGGATTCTAACTACAGCCGTGTATGCATCCCGCGGCCCGCAGCTGCTACGGCGGAATGATCGTAAACTATAGACTAGACTTAAATATAGCAATGTACATATATATAGACTACATGCTGCACAAGTACTATGCAACGTTAGCCGCAAATACACGCATCATGTATTCCTAGTTTCCTCTCTCACGTCCGGTTGTTGAGAGGTGTCAACGTCCACAACACCTGCTGGCCAGCCCTCTCCCCCGCCGCTCTCGGTTCGTTGCTCTTCCGTTCCCTCATTATCCTCGTCATCCTCCTCCTCGTCACCGTCGTCGCCGAGAGGTTGATACTGATCTAGAGCTGCATAGCCCGTGTGCTCCGGAGACCCTTCCGTTTCGTCACTCCAGTGCTCTCCATCAGTCGTTGGCGTACCCGAACTCTTCGTTTCCATGGTGTGTCCACACTGCCGGAGAAGACAACCTGCGGTGTGGGTCTGGTAGTCTGATGTGCAGGATAATTATATTATCGGCGCGAGATCTTGAAAAAAAAATCATATTTCCAGGGGGGAGGGGGGGGGCGCAGGTGCAACGAGTAACGAGTAGAACTGCCAAGCACCAAGTGTTGTGATTTAGGGTACAGCAGCAAACCATGGCTTCCTTGTTGATGCTGGCGACAGCAGTGCTGCTGACATTGGTGGGCCCTGGTGCTTCTTTCATCATTTCACCGGTGAGCTTTGTTGGGATAAGGCTCTATATTGCCCTGCTACCATCGAGCACTTTGGCCGCCCCTTCCGCTGCCTCCACAACTTATCGTTAGAGTCGTTCAGCACGTTATACAACAGGGTGATACAGAGCAGAGACATACTACTGCTGGACAGCCGTACGTATAGTACGTTGATACAGAGAGACCCCCCGCAGCAGAGAGTGGTGAAGAGACAGCACCACGCCGGGTAGGCTTGCCGAGCGACAGACTTCCTTAGATTGCAACAAGGATGGTGCGCTCGGCACGTGACTGCGTGTATCATATATGTCTTACGTAGTCGAATACTGGTTGGTCAACAGTCTACAAACATAACCTCGCCGTTAACTGCACGTATTGTATGTTCTCGAACTATGCCCACTTGTGCTGCTATCGACCGTACAAGTATGCTAGGTGACATTCGTGGAAGTGATAACATTCATTGTGGAATACCTTCCACGATTGTGCTGTGTAGGGTGTGTGGTTAAATGTTGCCGCTGTGATGGAGTACGGTCACACGGTCACAGCTCATTGCCCCAACTACAACTTCAAAGGGGTGCGATCACTGCTGTTGTTGTCACATGTGGAGTGCGCTCACGAGCTCACACCAAAAGGGGGATATCCACTTCTACTTTTGGATGGCACATGCCGCTTGATGGTGTGATTCACTACAGCAGCACTTACGTTCTTACACTACAACCCTCTCGCAGAAATTTGTAACATCAGCATCAGGACGTGTGGTGTGGTGCCATGCACGACTGCTGGGGGAGATTCAGCAAAGGGGCGACACGTGACAGTTCCTGCCACACGGGTGGATGCTGCTACTGCGCTGCACATTGTACAGCGGCGTACAGAACAAATGACGTAATTGAGCGTAAGGTGGCCGCTGGAGTCGGACCCACTGCAGTGCGAACCACGGCGCAGTTAGCAAGAATGTGTAGCGGTATTGTCGGCCGCCATTGCCTTGGCACGGAGGCTGTTCGCGCTTGTGTGTATGCTGCTTTATCACGCCGTGACCGTGTCATAAGCGGGGGGGGGGTCCGTTAACAGAATGCGGCTCAACTTTGGGGTAGGGGTATCTTATGCTGCCAACGGTGTGCTACCGGCAGGTATCCAGCACCAGCGCACTTCATCGGAGGTTGCCGTCGCCTACAGGCATCCGAAACCTTGATGCAAGTCAAAGGGATAGCAGCAACACCAACCGTGCCACCAGCAGAAGAGGGAGCACGGCGATGCAAGTGGCAGCTCGGCTTGTGACGGGGGAAGAGCTAGAGGTGGAGCTGACCGAGTGGGAGCTTCCGATGATTCTCGACGTCTTCGCCACTTGGTGCGGGCCGTGCATCCAGCTCAAACCAGAGATCGAGAAGGTATCTTGTGTTATCATAGGATGAAAACAGCAGTGGTGTGAGGAAGTGAAATTGCATTAAGTACGGAATCTCGCCAGAAAATGTGTGCCACTAACGACGGCAAGGACGTTTTCCGCGGGCTCACAGGTATGCGCTAACCAGTAACCTTTTGCCTGGGTAAACTGGCCGCTTCCCTGCCCAATGCCTCGAATTAGGCGATAGAGATGGAAGATACATGTACACAACGTATTTCGTTGTTGCGTGTTTCGAACGACCTAGACTATTTGTTAACGATGTTGTTGCGACGCATCTGGCGACAGTTGTCTCAAGCGCTCGAGGGAAAGTGCCGCGTGTTGAAGCTGGACAGCGACGAGGAGGAAGATATGGCGGGTGCGCTCAATGTGAGTCTCCACCGCAATTGCACATGACCGTGCGCGCGCATGATCTGACGCCGCTCGATCACGCGCCGAGAATTATGTAGATATGGTACAGATTTGGCCAGTTTGCTCATGTTGGCGTCTGAGTGTGACGTACCTGGTTACCGTCAGTCTCTTCACTTCTCAGCCTTGGCCGACTTAACTACTACCACTCTCCAATTGTTCTGAAGATTCCTTCGAGGGGGACATCTCTCCCATTAGAGACAGGATTTTCGGGGACCCAACTTTGCCGCTGTGCTTTCTAAAGCGCTGCCCTGGTATAAGCATTTGGTTTAATGTTTTCATCGAAAGCCCTGTGTGCAGAGGGCCTGCCAAACGCCCACGAGTGAGAGGACTCGCACGGCCCCGAGCAGGCTTGATACATGGAATAACACCACACCGTCAGTTGCGGGCACATCTGTGGTAGTATGTAACTTTTTGCTGGTCGTCTCGGTGGACAAACATTGCCGCCGACGTTGAATTTCCCGGCTTCCGGCAACGCTCAAGTGGGCTGTGGTGGGAATTCATGGCACATGTACCTTTGGGGGGGATTTTTTTTTACGTTAACGACCCATGAATGCGTCAAGACACAGCATACTGCTGTAGTGGTAGCTACGGTCTTGGCGCAGAGCAGCTGCTGTGCGGGGGCTACCATAATTGTCTTGGCTTCCTCCCTCCACCCCAGGTCGGAGGTTCCATGTCCACCAAGTCTTTTTAACACCCATCGCCATACGTACATCATTTCTCCGCGTCCATCGTCCCCCAGATCTACGGCCTCCCCACCGTGATCTACATGAAGGATGGGAAGATCCAGCACCGAACAGAGGGATTCCTCCCGGCGGAGGAGATGCTGCAACTGGCGGACATCCACCTTTTCGGGAAGCCGCCTCCCGAGGTGACCGACCCTGCCGATGATTTGTTCATCGATGCCGACGCTTGCAAACCGCCTGCTTCGGCCGCCGGCGATGCTCCGTCAGCGTGTACTCCGCCGCCGCCAGCTGACACCTGCCCCAGCCCGTCGGCTGATGCTTCGGCTTCGGCTAGCGAACCATAAGCTGTACGATCGTATGGTAGGCCGGACGGGTTCTTGCTACCTGTTAGGATTTTGCTGTACAGTACTGCTGTAGCACACCGATTGTTGTGCGTTAATACGCGTACACATGCGTACGTCGAGTCGAATCTAGACGTCTGGCCAGGGTTTAATTTTGTGCATGTCCCGTGCAACTTGCCGGGTTTGCAGGAATAGGCTTCTTTTAGTGTCGTAGAGTAGAGTAATGAACGCCGCAGTTGATACAGAGTCGTAACCTAGTACGATGGTGGCTGTCGTCAAGTGGTGCGCTTTTTCCGAGATCAACATCATTAAAAATACGTACACCCCATCCTGACCACATCGTGCGTGCCGTTGCACGCATGGTCGTCTAGCCGGCCATCTCCGCACGTCGAGAATCTCCCAAAGAAAGAAGGCCATCGGCTGACCGATGGCTGAAGGGATTGGTCGGGAATGGATGCATGCAACGCGATTGGGCACGCTGTGTTGTGTATTTGCTGCGCATGCGAACTTGAAAGAGGGCCGGTCTCCGCCGTCGCTCGCAGATCGCCCTCAGCTTGGCATCCATGAGGCAACATATTCGCGAGTATCCACAGCAAATAGGAAGGGATCAGTGAAGTCTCGCCGCAATAGCAACTGAAGAAGACTTCACCACTTCACCACATGCGGAAATGTTAATAATCCCTCCTGCGCGACCTGGCGCGTCAAACAAATAGCGAAAGGTGTAGTCTAGGCGGACATCCGGAATGGGTGGGACAAGCTAAAATAGAAACATGTTCTCTCAGCGGCCGGAGCGCCTTTGCCAATCAACGTCACTCGTGGTCAAGCGTCGGTCGTCCGTGTGCTACGCTTCGGAGGGGTGTCGACATACTTCAAGCCCCGTGATGAACGCATCTACTTGGTCGTCCGTGTTGGGCACATTACAACACGTGATTGCGTGCCTGTTGCTCGGTCTGACGCCGTTATCGTTGTCGCCAGACGCTGAACGAAGAGACAGCGTACATTCGGGAATTACACGCCGCTAGGTTGATCGAATGCTTTCCCGAACGTCTTTCAAGACGAAGGATGGTCAGCCAATGGCCCGAACGCATGAGACTATACTATGTAAGGATAAGTTTGTCGACCCAAGTGTGGACCGAAGCGTTTCTTCGGGAAGGCAGGGTTAGGGATACCTCAACCACAAGCTTCCACCCGTCCACTTCCATTCCCTTGTTACGCTGAATACAATATGACGTGGCTTTTTGTTGAGCTGCCAACTACCCCCAATGTCCAAAATCACTCTCATCCCTCACTATAGACTCGACCGGTGAAACGCAATGAACGACGAATTCGGAAAGCAGGGCAGACAAGTTGCCGCACACATGCTTACACGTTTATTTTTGTGCTACACGACGATGGCTACTCTAGCGTAAACAGAGGCCCGCCCTGATCGTAACATGTATGTGACGTACCACGCAAATCAGAACAAAGAATACCCCAACGTTTCCATTGCCGGCCCTCACAAGAAACATTCAAAACGAATCGGGGCTCAGATACAAGTACACCATTCAAGAAAAAATAGTAGACACTACCACATATGTAACGCAGGAAATTGGGCTCAAACTACCGAAACTATGCATACGTACACTGAACCCTAATAAATGTTTCGCTCAGCAATAGACTGTGCTCAATCGTTCAGACACTGTACGGCTTTGATGCCTTGCCAATCTTACTCAAAACTCTTTTCGTACGGTTATGCGGGGACCAACAAATCTGCGTTGTGCGAAAAACACCGAACGTCCAACACCTAATAGGTATTCACAAGTCGTAGACACAATCGAACGACACCGGAGCTGCTGCAGATTATAGCTCGTCATCCCCAAAGTCGTAGTCATAGTCATCGCCGCCCCCTCTTCCTCCGGTGGAATCCTGGCTGTAGAGTCGCGACATGATCGGTTTGGCGATCTGCTCGATGTCTTCCATGCGCGATTGCAATAGCTCCGTCTCGGCATTCGTAGTTTCGTCCAGCCAGTCAAGAGCTTCGTTGATGGTGGATTCAAGTTCCTGGGTTCAAACGTTGTGTCAAAGGAGGGGGGAGGGGGGGGGGGGGGGGGG